AGCTGCCTGAGCAAAGCCTACTACTGTTTGACTGACAGCAGGTGGGGGATCCGGGGTCAGTCCACTGGTGACAAGCTTGACTGTGTCAGAATGTAAACGTATTCTTCATGTAGCTTCAATATTAAACGTCATAATTGTCATCATCGACTGTTAAAACAGCAAGCAATCTGCCTGCTCCTCCCCAAAACCCACTCTCCTTGTAATAAATCAGTGTTGGACTGGATTCAGAAGCTTCTTGGCGTCTCTCTGGGATTGACCACACACCTAAAGCAACACCTGCTCACCAGTTTTCACTCTCATCCAGCCCCTCGTGTGTTTTACAGTGAAATGTTACTTCCAATACTACCTGTGTACTTTTTACTCACCCTCTGCCAAAACTCATCCAACCTTCACAGTATTATTTTTCTATTTATATACATATACAATTATTGTCATAGAATAAAAATAATAATTATATATAAATAAATAAAAAATACACTCATCCAAGTGCCTAAATGTGCCAATTGATTTGAAAGAAGGGCTGTCATTTAAATCTGCCGATAGAGGGCGCTCGTAAGCAAAGGATAACGCCACTGCTGGAATTCACTCTAAGGTGCAGCTGTTTGCTGAACCCCTCCACCCCCCTCACCCCCCACCCCCAACCTCCCCATCTTACTATCCTCGCACCCCCCCCCCCCCCCCTCTCTCTCATTACGCTCCCTCCTGTATAATTTCACACACAAACACAGCGTCCGCTGCAAATGTTGCGCAAGTTGAAGGAAATCCTCACACGTTCATTTCTTAACACATTTGGCTGCAGAAGTCATCAAATAAATAAATAAATAAATAAATAAGGATAAATAAGGAAACACCTCTGCGAATGTTAATGCAACTGAAAACACGCATCTATTCCATAAAGAACTAAATGGACACACACACACTGCGCTCTGTCCGTCTCTCTTTCTCTCTCCAACACACACATACACAGGGGGGGGGGGGGGGGTGGCGCAGTGGCCGAATGAATGACTCGCGCAGATAACGTCTGGATGGAGATGAACTGTATGTTTGTGCATTAAAAAAAAGACATTTTTGGCTGCACTTTCTTTGCGTAAAAAAACGCATGCGTCCAGATTCCAGGAGTGGACTGACCGGAGAGAAGACCCCCGAAAAGAGGGAGAGAATGGGGGGGCTCGCATGATGCAGCGACCACACACGTGTAGTGCTATATATATATTAGTAGGGTGTGTGTGAGGAAGGTGGGGGTGTTGGACCGGCCCGTCTCGCCATAAAGATAGTGCGTAAAACTGATTTAAAGAGAAATCCCAGCGACTGGAATAAACTGTGCTGCTTTTGAATGTGAAGTGGAAATAAAGAGCAAATCAAAACACAACGATCCCCATCATGTGTTGTATTTTTTGCTGAACATTTTGGTCCAAAATGGTCTTGACCCGGGCGATCGAGATCCAAGTTCGACCCTGTTTACGTGCGCTCCTGAAAGCGAGTGAGGAAAGAAGGAGGGGGGGTGAGAGAGAAAGAGAGCGACTGCAATATCATTTGTGAATCCCTCTCTCCGCGCTGCAGATAGGGGCTGCCAACACATGCGGTGCGTCTGCAGGTGAGAGAGGCGCGCGCGCTGAACATGTTGGACACATCTCTCCTAAAAGAAACGATAAACCAGCAGCGTCGGATTTAGTTTCAGTTTTGATCATTTGAACGCGGCTTTGTTTTTCTTTTCTTCTTTTTTTTTTTAATCAACCTCCTGGGTTGCAAGTGGAGTTGTGGCTCGTAAAAAACAAGACTACTCTGCTAGTTGCAAGTGTCAGTGGGGGAGAAAAGGAAGCAGAGAGAAGCGGACAGGTTATTTTGCTGAGGGAGCTCTCCTGCGCAGTCCGGCTCTCATCACCGCGTAAAAAAAGCCAGGAGTTGGAAACCAGTTCTCTCCCATCTGCGGACCCATCGGACAGAGGGATACTGTGCCGCCTCGCCTTTCAGATTTAAAGAAAACCCACAAACTGTGAGTAAAAAAAAAATAAAAAATTAAAATGAAGTGAATCCACTTTTTTTTTTTCCTGCTGCTGATCGGACTATAATACGACTTTTACGCGCCGTGGCGTTCAGAGGCCAAAGCGCGCGCACAACCTCTCTCCGTTGCCTTAAGATTATTATTATTATTTTTTTTAATGTTGCTTTAAACGAAGCTTTGATGAATTAACACTCAGTGCCGACGGAGGAAAGGAGAGAAGAGGAAAGCCCCGGTGCACTTGCTGCTTTACACTGCAGCACAAACCAGAGGAAGTCATCCGGAGAATGGAGTCTCACGCATCCTGAAAGCCTCTTAATGACATTGCCCTTCCAATTAAACACTTCCTAATCGTTTGTTGGACTTCTTTACGCATATTTTCCCTCCCTAAAGGGTGAACAATGAGGACTACTACTACTGCAGTGGACTATTTTTACTATTGCATGCTCATTTTGCAGCTGCTTGTGCATCAGCCCGCTGCAAAGCAAGTGCTCCTGTACCGCCTGGCTGAGGAGGGACCCGCCGATGTCAGAGTGGGCAACGTTGCCGCCGACCTGGGCATAGTTGCCGGGTCGGGGGAAGTGACATTCACCTTAGAGTCTGGCTCGGAATTCTTCAAAATAGACAACATCACAGGTGAGCTCAGCACCAACGAGAGGCGAATAGATCGTGAGAAACTGCAACAGTGCCAAATGATCTTTGATGAAAACGAGTGCTTTATAGATTTTGAAGTGTCTGTCATCGGACCAGCTCAGAGCTGGGTTGACCTCTTCGAGGGGAAAGTCATCATATTAGATATAAATGACAACACTCCGTCTTTTCCGTCCCCTGTCCTGACCCTCTCTGTGGAGGAGAACAGACCCATTGGAACCCTTTATCTGTTGCCCACAGCCACAGACAGAGATTTTGGCAGGAATGGAATAGAGAGATACGAGCTCATCCAGGACAACGGGGAGAACTCGAGACGCATGGGGTCGTCTGGGGATTCGTACTCTGGGAAGAGGAGATTTGAGGACGGTGCGAGCAGGAGCAGTGTGTTTGAACTGCAAGTTGCTGACACCACTGATGGGGAGAAGCAGCCTCAACTCATCATTAAGGGGGCCCTGGACAGAGAGCAAAGAGACTCCTATGAGCTCACGTTACGTGTGAGAGATGGAGGCGACCCCCCTCGCTCCTCTCAGGCCATTTTGAGAGTTATGATCACTGATGTGAATGACAACAGCCCTCGGTTTGAGAAAAGTGTGTATGAGGCTGACTTGCCAGAAAACAGCTCCCCCGGCGCCCCTATCCTGCAGCTAAAAGCGGCTGATGCAGACGTGGGGGTTAATGGTCAAATCGAGTATGTGTTTGGGGCAGCCACAGAGTCTGTAAGGAGGCTGCTGAGGTTGGATGAGAGCACTGGGTGGCTGAGTGTGTTGCACCGCATTGACCGTGAAGAAGTGAGTCAACTGAGGTTCACCGTAATGGCCCGTGACCGAGGTCAACCACCCAAAACGGACAAGGCCACGGTTGTGTTAAACATCAAGGATGAGAACGACAATGTTCCCGCCATTGAAATTCGAAAAATTGGACGCATTTTCCTCAAAGACGGAGTGGCCAATGTTGCTGAGGATGTGGTGGTGGACACGCCCATTGCCTTAGTTCAGGTGTCAGACCGAGACCAGGGGGAAAATGGCATAGTGACCTGCACAGTGGTTGGGGACGTTCCCTTTCAGCTCAAACCGGCCAGTGAGATGGAGGGTGAGCAAAATAAAAAGAAGTATTTCCTCCACACGTCTGCACCTCTGGACTATGAGGCCACACAGGAATACAATGTGGTCATAGTGGCTGTGGACTCTGGAAGTCCCAGTCTGGCAAGTAATAACTCTCTTATTGTCAAAGTGGGTGACACTAATGACAACCCTCCTATCTTCAGTCAAAATGTAGTAGAGGTGTCCTTTCCTGAAAACAATGCGCCTGGTGAGAGGGTGACAAGAGTGACAGCTGCTGATGCAGACAGTGGGAAAAATGCAGAACTAGCCTATTCTCTAGATTCATCAGTAAATGGGATTTTTTCTATTGATGCAGACAGTGGAGACATCAGAGTAAACACCATTCTGGATAGAGAGCAAACAGAACGCTATGAATTTAAAGTGATAGCTAAAGATAAGGGCATAAACACCCTTCAGGGTTCTGCGACTGTGGTTGTACTTGTGGCCGATAAGAACGACAATGACCCGAAGTTCATGCAAGATGTTTTCACCTTCTATGTCAAAGAAAATCTTGATCCAAACAGCCCAGTTGGCATGGTTACGGTGATTGATGCAGATAAAGGCCAGAATGCAGAGATGGGTCTTTTCATTGAAGAAGAAGAGGAGATCTTTTCTATTGAGAATGAAACTGGAACTATTTTTTCCACCCTGTCATTTGACCGAGAGCAAAAAACCACATACACATTTCGTGTTAAAGCTGTGGATGGTGGTGACCCACCCAGATCTGCCACAGCTACGGTTTCACTCTTCGTCATGGATGAAAATGACAACGCACCAACAGTCACCTTCCCAATAAACAACTCCTTCACTCTGCTTCATCCTTCCAGTAGCATTAGAACAGTAGTCCGAGCTGTCATAGCCACTGATACAGACACTGGCATTAATGCAGACCTGAACTACAGCATCATTGGGGGCAATCCCTTCAAGCTTTTTGAAATTGATGGGGGCACTGGGGTCATTTCACTAATGGCAAAGCTGGAGCAGAAGCATTATGGCCTCCACAGACTTGTGGTCCAGGTGAATGATAGTGGGCAGCCTTCCCAGAGCACCACCACTCTGGTTCACGTGTATGTTAACGAGACTATTTACAATTCATCTATTGTGGAGGCCCAGGTGGCTAAAAGCTTAAGCACATCTCTTAACACCAACATTGCAGGTGACCCCAACTATGATCTAAGCAAACAACGCTTAAGCATCGTGATTGGAGTAGTTTCAGGCATTATGACAGTCATTCTTATCATACTTGTTGTTGTCATGGCCCGTTATTGCCGCCCAAAAAATAAGAATGGCTATGAGGCTGGGAAGAAGGATCATGAAGATTTCTTTACGCCACAGCAGCATGACAAATCTAAGAAGCCCAAGAAAGATAAGAAGAAGCAAAAATCCAAACAGCCTCTCTACAGTAGTATTGTCACAGTAGAGGCCTCCAAACCCAATGGGCAACGGTATGATGGCGTCAACGAGAAGCTTTCTGACAGTCCTGGCATGGGTCGCTACCGTTCGGTCAATGGCGGGCCGGGCAGTCCAGACCTGGCACGGCACTACAAGTCCAGTTCACCACTTCCCACTGTTCAGCTTCATCCACAGTCACCAACAGCTGGAAAAAAGCACCAAGCAGTTCAGGACCTGCCTCCTGCCAATACATTTGTTGGCACCGGAGATAACATTTCTCTTGGATCTGACCATTGCTCCGAGTACAGCACTCAAACTATCAACAAATACAACAAACAGGTAAGAAGATGCATCTCAATGTCTCTTCGTTTTCCCTTCACCACTCTTAAATGTCTTCTGCTTCTTCCTCTTAGTGTTCCTTCCACCATAATGCTTTCTGACAGTGCTAGTCTCAGTAGTCGTGTTGCCTTTATGGTGCTAATGTCTGTCAAGTTAGTGGGTATTGATCTGTTTTGGTTTGGAGTGCCATTCACATGTAATATTGAAAAGAATGAGAGGTTTAGCTTAGATTTTGTGGGGATGCTGTTACCACTTGACCAAACATGTCCAACTTTTCTTTTACTTTCATCACAGCATGTGTTGAAGTAGCCTTTTCTGTCAAGGGTGTCACAGCTGCTAACCCTGGCAAGTATGCGTCAGGGTGTTGTAGACAGCTCACATCAGGATTTGGTTTGCAGTTATTTTATCCCAAAAGGGTGTGCGGCAGGGGTCCACAGCTCTCCCTCCTACTTGTGTCATGCCTTGACCTGCCCTCTGTCTGTGCCTTTTCTTCTTGTGGATTGTATAAGAGAACAAAAATATATATAAAAAAAGGTTTGTATTGTCAGTGTAGCTTGGTTTGATTGATTCGTCAGTCACTTTTACAGTCTGTGTGTATGGGAATGCCTATCCACCCAGAAGGTCACATTAACTTTCTTTTTTGCTTTGAGGTCTGCATTAATTCATTGACCTGACAGTGTAAACTGGGCTTTTTATATCCCCTCCCTTAGTGCACCTCAGGATCATGCTCCTTTATATTTTTGCCTATCTACAAATACTTGTCATCGGCTTCTCTTCCGCCTTCCAGTTAGCCTTACCCTATTCTCCAGTCTATGCTTTTCTCTCGTTTTCTTTGTTGGAACTTAAAAAGATAAAAATAAAAATGCAAGCTTAATTTAGCACAGTATGTGTATATTAGTATGGCAACATTTTTCGGCGTTAGGTACAACAATGTAGAGGAATAAAGTTTAAACTTGTTGAAATGAGCTGATTTTCATTTCTCAGGGAAAAAGAACAATATCCAGGTACACTACGCTCTAATGAATTATTGATCTTTCTCTTACTTGGTTTCAGCACTGCTCTTTTAGAATTCAGAAGTCCCCCCCCCCCCCACACACACACACACACACACTTTTGTCATTCCGTTTTCGCTCTCTCTTTGAATACTGTTGCTTTGTTCAGCTTTTACATTAGATTCTCATTGTTGATTTTCCTGCTCAAACACTCCTTTGGACATTCATATTTAGTAAGGCCTTTGCATCTCTTCATCTTCCACGTTGCCTTTTTTCCCTCCTGTTCCCCACATCACACCCTTTACAACGTTATTCTCCTGCCGTTTTTTTTTTTTTTTTTTAATCTTCAATCTCATCTCTCTATAACCTGTCTCCCCTTCCTTTCATGCTATTCTTCCTCTCAAATAATTTTAGTCCCCTTTTTACGGCCCTCCCTTCTCTCTTTTCCCTCCTTGCTCTGTCAGTTACAGCCTCTAATATTGTGTATTCACTGAACTGCTTCCCAGAGTGTGAGGAGTGCTGTTGCTTTCGGATGTCTCCTGCATAATTAAAAGGGCACTCTATTTGCTGCCGCAGCAGCAGCATGTATTGTGTGTCACTATGCTCCGTTTATATAATTTATTTATTTATTCTCCACATTGATGCTGCGGAAACCCTCATGGGCTGTACTTAAGTCGGTTTGCAACCTACCAAAGGAGTTTTTTTTTCTTCAAGTTTGAAATCTTAAATATCAATAGAATGTCAAAGCATCCACAAGGTAATATCATCCATGTTTACTATGCGGTGCAGCTCGTTTGGCATTTAAGGTACAATAGCAAGCTGGTATTCCGATTACCTTTTCATACCCCTTGGGCTTGGGAAATACTGGCTGTTCCTGTATTCTGCAGGGTTGAATTGGGTGGAGTTTAATGTCTCCAAATGAGATCAAAATGAAGAGAACGTGTTTGCTCATGTGCTCCAATTATGGCATTTAAAAGCTACCTCTTTAATAGATTAAGCAGTGAAGTGGTCGTGCGCTTGATTTTAGGAACACTGCATCTAAAAATATTATGTTGTCTGCTATGGGTCACTTTAGCTAAATGCGTCATGAAAATTTCAAGGACATGTGTATGCATCTGAAAATTTTGTGGAAAATAAGGATTAGTGACAAAACTCCCATGCAAACAGAAAACACTGATTTGTTTTAGAATTTCTTTTTGCCTTAACCATATATTTTTTTAATTGCGTGTATACCATTTTATAACATTTGGCCTGGGATGTGGCTGATCTTGTTTGATGTGATAGCTATACGAAAAGTAATGATATGGAATATTCTTCAGCGGGTGTGTGGGAGGAGATAGAGACAAGCGCAAGAAAGACGGCCCTGTTAAGGGTGGAGAGAATGGCCCCTTCTGTTTCACCAAAGGACTTGGTTTGGCGGAAAGATAGAAAGAGGACAGGGTGGCAGTGGAGGGAGACAGACTAGGGCTTGAACGTTGACTGTAATCTCTTGAGGTATCGGGTTCTGTCTTTCTTCTTTTTCGCCCACCTAATCTTACAATATCTGCGCAGGCAACCTGCTTGGACAGGTAACCAGGCAACTGGGGGAGTTTATCAGTGAGGCAAACCTATTTTTTAGCCCATCAGACATTTAAACAGTCATTAAGCTGGGGTAAGTGTGGGGAAGATGTCAGGTTGTCCCCTAGCAGCTGTTGAGGGTCACATTTCACCTTTACTGGACATGCTATTGATAATTTTTCCTGTTTCGACCATGTTTATTCAATACTTTTTTCTATACGTTTCTTTCTTGCATGCCAGTTGCATTCAGAGGTTGATGAGTAGTGTTTTCTCTTAACAAAGCACTTAACTTTATTACTTTTGGCAGTAGCTCCTGTTCCGACTTGTGCCAGAAAATAACACAGTCCAACCGTTATGTGGGGAGAAATGAAATCACTTAGCTATCGAATTAGTAGAGCCCATCAGCTTTTTGTTCTTTCATTGTACTTCAAAGCACTACACATGCCCAGGTGGATCACTTTTAATCAGCAGTGAGCCACAGAAGCTCGGGTTCTGAACTCTTGCAGAGTAGCCCCTCAGGGCAAACGAAGGCCTGATCCGCCCACTTAAACCAGGTTTTCTTGCCTCTAGGCTGATGCGGCAAGATGAACAGGACTTTGCCCTTAACTCAGCTCCCAGCGCTCCCTGCCCCACCACTCCTTTTGCTTTGACCAGCTGTTCCTTGGGTCCTACGTTGCTGCTTTCCTGCTCAAGCCAAATGCATCTGCGAAGCAACTAATTTGCAAAGGGCAGCCCCCTCCCCATCTCTCCGGCCTGCTCGTACAGAACAAACAATATCACCATGCAAATAGAGGTCACCAGGGTGGTGTTTGTAGCCAAAACATTGGATGTGACTGCCCTTGAGGTTCCGGACAGATCAGGAAACCAATATGGAAATGTAACACTTTGCCTAGGAGCTCATTTGCTTCAAGCTAAGAAATGTAGCTGCCTAAACACTTACGAAAAAAGCCACAAGTGACCCAGTTGAAAGCGGCCCTTATGGGATACTTGGTTTTAAACAGAAGCTATTTGTGCATAAATAAATTAAAACATACACATAAAGGTACCAAACTCCCCCTAAGGGCTTTGGGTTTAAGCTGCGAAACCAGTTTGAAAGTAAGTCACTCGTTTAGCACAGTAAGGACATAGAATGCCCAAGAGAAGCATAGGTCACTGAGACAGTTTTTTGTTGTTGTTGTTATTATTGTTTAAGAAAACCTTACGTTAAAATCCAGGATAGTGTCACAAGAAAAAACCAGAAGAAGCATGTGGGAAGCCTTTAGCAAGAAATAAGCCGATACGCAGTGAGCTGGTTTGTTTATTGCCACATTAATATTAACGCTTGTCCTTGGTCTTGCTGACTGTGGCTAATGTTATCAAAATTGTTTTGGATCTATTACGGCTTAATTCAATCTGCTGCTGCTCAGGCTTTTTGTTGTTTACGTTCCGAAAAGGAAAATGGAAGGAGTAAGAGAGCAAAGTAATACTCATGAAATTGCAGCGGGCAGCATTTTCTGGTATAATTTTGTTGGGGTGATTTGAATGCATTTGCTCTGAGGCAATTACTAATCTAAGGATTAGACATACCTGATACGCAGGCAGAAATGGTGGAGAAAACTGCAAAGAGATTGCCATGGCTGCTTGCTGTAGTGCCTGCAATATTACTCTGCATAATGTTTTAATACTGAGGCTTTTTCCACTTTCTACCCATAGTCAACAGCTAGAAAAGCATTGCTTCTGGTCTTTTTCTTCTTTTCCGTCTTCCCACAAACACGTGCCCATTGAGCTCAGTCACATGCAAATAAACTCTCATGACTGAAGAAACCTCAACACTTGTCATGATAGATGGGGGGAAAAGGCGAAGAGGGGAAGTGAGGAAGGAACAAGACAAGAAATTTAAGCTGCACGCCACCTTGATTGCTCTCCATGCCACTGATTGTAAGTGGCAGTGTTGAGGATGCCACCTTCTTCTCACCGCTTCTTTCAATTTGCTGTCATTGAAAATGGAATTTCATTTCATACTCAGCAGCGATCACATTAGATAGGGCTCACCAGGATAAAGCCGATTCATATTTGCAGATTTGCCTTTTCCTGAGGCACTATCAATCACCTCACACTCGCCTGTACTGCAGGCTTGTTTTTCACGGCAATTGTTAGGAGTTTGTTCAGTAAATTGACTTTTACAGGACTCCCAAGGTTTATGATACGCTATGCTAGCCGGAGTTGTTTTCTCCATAGCTGTCTTCTTGTATCGACTCTCAAAGCCAGAATCCACTAAATGAGAACATCACTTAGCTCCACTGCTGCACAACCCTGGGGAGTAGTTCTCTATGGAGGTGCTGGATCACAACACGGATCAAACGAAAGATTTGTTGTCCATAACACTAATAGGCAAAATAACAGCGTTGCTTTTACGGACATTGTAGCTCGTCAAAATAGCTATCGTGTCTGGCAAAGTCAAATAAATTGATT